GACCACAACAAACTTAATGAAGGAATATATAATAAATGATACAAGAAAAATCTCAAGTTCAATATCAAGATTCTATACTTATCGTAATGTATATCTTTGTATATATGTGTATGTTAGCACCAACGGATGAAGAAATTATCAAAATAACGTTTACAAATAATGAGGTGACATCTTAAAGAATGAATATTCTTCATTTATTGAATTGTGGTTGACTTTTATATATCTCATATTGATAAAAATATGAAATATTGACAATAAATGATTGATATAGAAAGGGAGGTTGAGATGTTTTTGTGGTAACTCATGGGTTGGCTCCTCTAGGCCAATCCCTGTTCTTTTTTTTTTACTACATAGAAGCATATAATAGGTCCATAAGCTTTTAAGTATAAACAATTTTGGGCGGCCCCTCCACTCTTGATCCAGTCCTCTAGCGACATCGACGACGACAACCTCCAACGACATCGACAACGACGACAAGCAGTCCTCCAGCAACAGACAGGGCACCGGCGCTCAGTTCTCCAGCCTCCGGCAGTGCTCTCGACGGTAAGTCCTCCTGTTCTCTGTTCTCTCCGACCCTGTAGAACTGTTGTTGCATGTTTAATTCTTTATTCTTTAACTTTAACCTAATAACCTGTGATGTTGTGCAACTGCATTTTATTTTTTAACATGTATGTATATAAATTTAATTGTCTAAATTTGTTTGCTTAAAGCTTAATGATTTATGATTAGGTTGTTTAGGTCTAAATTATTTTGATATTTTGATTGTTTGCTTAAAGCCTTGAGTTGATTTGATGAGTTTTAAATTGTTTATGTGTTCTTCAAGTTCAACTGTTTAAGGGTTTATGTGTTTAAATGAGTGGACTACATTTTATTACTTGAGCCTTTATACATTAATACATACATTATGCCACAACTTAGATTGGTCCATGGTGCTAGCTTGAAGACATTTACCTTCTTTACTATGACTGATGGTTCAGCCAGCAAGGCAAAGATCCTACTTGCACAGTTGCTTTCCAACTTATGTACCTCTTCTTTCACTTTATGTACCTCTTCTTGCCTCTTGAAGTTGTCCGACATTCATTGGGTTATTTTTTGACCCAAGTGTACAATACACAATTATGCATCACCAATGGCATAATTAATCCCATTTAACACCAACTACGACCTCCTTTCCAATGACCTTCATTGTAGTGTTATTTACAAGTTTGACAGAAAAAGCGAAATTGATTTTCGAATTTGTAAACTTACAAGGATTTCTACACATGTGATTTAAACAATTGGAGTCGACAAACCAAACATCTCTCTTTGTTTCATCCAGGTCAACACATTCCATCAACAATAGCTCATCATCCTCTGTTAGAATTAGTTATTATTTTCTGTTTGTTAGTTCTAATTAGTTAGGTTGTTTAGTTTCTTCTTGTATAAATAGTCCTTTTCCCTTTTACTTTTGGAACACACAGAAATATACAGCTTCTTCTACTTTTTCCTTTTCTCTCAATTTCTCTCTACTCTATGCTCTCGTCTATCATGGTATTAGAGCTCCACAATCCAATCTGACCTTCTTCTCATTTTTCATTCTTCAATTTCAATTCCTTCCTGTTCAATTTTGTTCTCGCTTCTTTCTTCTTCGTCAGTCTCAATATGATTGATAAACAAACAGAAACAACGAATAAGAACATGAATGCCTTTGCTTATTCGAATCCTTTGTTTCTGAGTCAAAGCGATAATCCTGGAACGATGTTGGTTGAAGTTATTTCTGCAACGTCCAAGTCCAACAACATATATGAACTTTCTTTGTTGTGCATCAGTCAACCTCACCACATTTCTTGGATCTTCAAAAAATTCTCCACACAAATCCAAAGACCCTTTGTCCTAACAAAATTCTCCAACCGACTCCAGTGATCATAATGAGAGTTGAAGTGAGGATCTCTTTTAGTTTTTTGTCACTCAAAGATTGTTGCTTCTTTCTCCAAGACCTGTGTTGGCATTTTTGCTTCTCTCCAAACCCCGTGTTGGCTCTGATACCAAATATTATGTTTTGGTTTAAAATAGGAACGCAGAACAAAGAGACTGAATGATCACGATCTGTCCTTTTCTTAAAGCCATACTTGGTTATATAACCTTACAACTAACTGAAAAAATCAGAAAACAACCTACTAAAGCACCTGCTAGCCCGCCATTGCTTAATGGTGGCATGAACAGGGAATATTCAAAGCTACACAAACTAACCCTATAGACAAGCCCATTATTCCTACAAAGTTGAACACACATGATACATGAATGATTGAATCTGTGTTTTTCAAGGGTATTTGTGGACAGTGGCTTGTGGTATGAATGTATGATCTATGTGAATTGTGATGTCTCCATTCAACATATATAATGATTAAGCATGTTTCCATCATTCCATGTCCATTTCTGCTACTGTAGGACAGTAGGAGAATCCTTATTCACTAGCAAAGTAGCAATTGATCCATTTTATTGGAAGCAACATATATAGTGATTAAGCAACATATATGTCCCTTATTTACATTTGTTTTAAAACTAAAACTGCTAAATATGTTCCACATCACATGTAGATGAAATTGTGGAAGACTTCAAGGTCGCGAAAGATCAACGGGTTCCACTTTGATTAGTGATGCTTGACATGTTTATATTTAACGTCTAGTTTTAGATTTTTACTACGTTATAACTTTGGACAGTGTATTTTTGGTACCTTTAAAATATATAATATATTAGGTCCGGCCCTTACGGTTGGAAAGTTTGTGTTCCGCCCCTAGCCGACCCTTTGAACTCATGGGTTAGATCATTTTGGCTAACCCTTTTTTGGCAAAAAAGGAAATCCACATAAAATAAAAAAATTTATCAATATACACATATATAGGTCAGGTTTATAGGAAACCTGGAAAAAAAAGTGAGGTATATTGTGGTTATCGTTCATCTGGATGGTGTGTACGTATGTATGTAAGTAATTTTTCTGGTATGCACATGTGCATTACATGCACTCGTGCAATAATATCAAGAAACATCTTCAATTACTTGTATGCACATGTACGTATTGTCCAAATAAATGGTTATCAAGATGTTCCTTACTTTTTCCATTTTTAGGGTTTTTTCCTGAATCTCCCTCACACACACACACTCTCTCTCTCTCTCTCTATATATATATATATTATATATACTAGAAGGGTGCTTGCATAATATAGCGTGATATATTTCAATTTTGATGTTTCGTTTTATTATTTATCTATGTCGATATAATACGTTTTTAGTGTTTTTGAGAAAGCGATAATATTTTTATTTTTGAATAAAATATAAATTTAAATATATCATAAAATTTTGGGAAAAAATATCGATATTAGTATTAAATTTACTATTTAAAGTTCTCGGTTTTTATATAATTTTTTTAATTCAGTATTTTTATTTATATTTTAACACGATTTGTACTATTGTTTTGGGTTAGAGGAGGAACCAAAGAAGGTATAGAAAGTAGGAAAGCGAGGAAGCAAAGCGAAGGAGACAGGGGAGACCGGAGACGAAGGAACAACATGAAAGAGGGGAGGGGATGGAGACGCAATGGCCATGATATTGGAGATGGTAATGCATAGTGGTGACAAGATTATCGGAGATGGGTTTACGTCAAAGTTTCTTCTCCTTCTCTTTTTATGTGTTATATATGTTCTTATCGTGTGTATTCTCAATGCGTGAGTGTGTACTCTTTGTGTGTGTGTGTGATGTGGGAGGGGGGAAATGGGAGCCAGACATTTCCTCCTTTGAAAAACCTTGAAATCGGCAACAAATTTCAGGAGACAGTAACAAATATGTAATAAGGGGAGATAGAGGCAAGCAAGACCTCTAGACAATGACCAAAGAAGGACGAGCCAAAAACTGCAGCCTATGACTGACTTGAAAGGTCGACAAGGGTAATGCATGGAGATGGAGAGGCATGGTGGTGACAATATCAGTCGGAGAGGGTCTGGGAGATGGAGAAGGGAGGCCATGTGTATGTGTGAGTGTGTGTATACATATAGACTTGGGTTGAAACGAGAATAATACCAAATAAAGAAAACACGAGAACTATCAAATCACATGTGATTAAGACGACTTTGCCCGCAACCTGAGTTTGCAGGCCAAGTCGCCCGCCCTTGCATTGACGGTGTTTCATAATCACATTTGATTTCAGTGTAAAATCATATGTGATTTTGTCGTTTTCATATTTACTTATATTGACTATGTTCTTGTTTAATCGCACTCTATATACATATATATATATATGTATATATTAGTAAATCAAATATAATATATAATGAAATATAATTAGTTTTTAAAAGGAAAAAAGAAAAAAACAACGATTAAAAAGACCAAACTACCCTCGAGCTAATAGAAGTTTTTAACGAAGTTAAAGAGAGGACTTAGAGTATTATAAAACATAAATTATAGGGACCTAGGACATTATGAAATATAAACTACATAAACATTTTGCATAAATGTTTCAAAATAAAGACGTGTGACGTGATTTTGTATAAACAGTATGGACTAAAACAATTTGTGTAAAACGTTTTCTTATGTAAAAACCATACCTAAAACAATAGCTTATCGAATTTATGTAAAACGTTTTTTTACAAGAATGACCCATGTATCAGTTTCCTCGTGTATCTATATCTACCATCACACCTATCTCCAAGTGCCTCTCTCTCTCTCTCCTCTCTAAATATATGTGTGTATATATATATATATATGTATATTATATAGCTCCTTTCTCTCTTGCAACCTCTCTCTCTCTCTCTCTCTCTCTCTCTCTCTCTATCGTTCTTACTCTCTCTTTAGGATCTACTTACATTGTCACGTGTACACTGTAGATTCTTTTGTTTCGTTTAGGGTTCATCTTTATAAGAACAAAAAATAGGTGCACAATCTCAAGCCATTGTTGTCTACCTTGAAGAATGATCAAAAAGGCTTGTTTGTTTTGATCTTTCAACTACTCTCGTGTTCTTCGTCTTATACTTTCAAACTTTAAGCTTTTTATTCGTAATTGAGTGTTTTTTTTACCATCCTACCCTTCCAACCAAGAAATTAAAGCACACATACATATATGTCTTGCTCCCACTTCATTGCGTATGATATTTTAGAGAGAGAAATGGCATTAGAAACAAGACTCTTTCCACAGGGCCAAATTGGAAATTTCAGATACGATTATGTGTTGCCGGAAGATCATATTTTTGGTGGGTTTTTGGATGGTACCAACAATATTAATCATCATCAAGATTCACCAAGCGCCCATGCATATTGGGGGAATTACTCTTCATCTTCTCCAGTGATGCATATTAAGGACCAATGGGATCCTAAATCATCGCCGGAAGATTGTACTGGTGGTGACGGGTGCGACGGAGTGATTTTGGGTTCGTCTCCCGGTAACATGAAGGTGGAATCACCAACTGCCACCACGCCAATCGCCACGGCCACAGCTGTCGGTCGAAGAAAGCGGAGGCGCACTAAAAGTGGTAAGAATAAAGAGGAGTTGGAGAATCAAAGAATGACTCATATCACGGTGGAGCGCAACCGCCGGAAAATGATGAATGAGTACCTCGGCGTGATCCGGTCGTTGATGCCATCTTCTTATGCTCAAAGGGTAAGAATTAAATTAAATCTTTTATATGAAATTAATTATTGATTTTATATGAAAAAAGATTTATGAATAGTGAATTATATTCTAAATTCCATAGAAGACAAACAGGTCATATCACCATTGAACATCATTGCTTGAAAATAACTATTAATGCCTAAACATTTAATTCATTTTTGGTCGTAGCACTTTTTAATTACAATATTTCTTTTATTTTTAGTTATCTATTTATTTAATTTTATTTTAAATAGATTTTTGGTATTAATTATATTCACTTTTCTGATCTTGTTGATTTATCGTGGGTATTTATTATTTTAGTTTTATTATAAATTTGAAAATCAAATAACGGTTCAAAAAGTTTAAAGCTAATTTAAAAAACTAAAGATTTATTACTTTTTTATGTGTAATGATGAAATTATTGTTGGATATATTGACGAATATTTCAACAATTTTACTGATTTACAGATATTATATAATTAATTAATTGAGAATCATGTACAATGTGCTTGGTGTGTTATATGTTTGGAACTAGTATACTTAATTAATTAAGGCCTATGATTTTTTTGTCAAGTTAGGTGCCATTTCCAGATTTCTTCTATATATAATTTAATTTGTTTTTTTTAATCCATTAAATTTAACTTGTATAAATAACTAAAGTTGAATGATTAAATTTTCAGGGAGATCAAGCATCAATAGTTGGAGGAGCCATAAATTTTGTGAAAGAGTTGGAGCAAAAACTACAAACCCTAGAGGTTCAAAAAAGAGGCAACAATGGCTACCCTCCACAACCACCACCACAGCCCTTTGTTGATTTCTTCGCATTCCCACAATACTCTCTTCGTGCGGCTGGAGATGGTGGTGCTGGAAGTGGTGGTTCCACCAAGAACCGGCCACCGGCTATGGCGGAAATTGAAGTAACAATGGTGGAGAGCCATGCAAACCTAAAGATACTTTCGAAGAAACGACAGAGGCAGCTCTTGAAGATGGTGGCTGGGCTACAGTGTTTATGGCTCACCATTCTTCACCTTAATGTTACCACAGTTGAGCCAATGGTTCTCTACACTGCTAGTGTCAAGGTTAGTCTTCTTTCTTAAAATCTTATTTACCTTATTTCTAGTGTATGTGTGTGTATATATATACATATATATATATATAGGGTTGAGTTCACATGAGATCAACTTGTTTTAACCTTCACATTGTTTTTATAATGAAATTTTAAAGTGTAAAAAAGTGGTCTTATAGGTCTCACAAAAATACAGATAATTGTTTTACGACCCGATAATAAAAAAGAATAATGGAATAAAAACCTACTTCTTGGCTTCATTTTCTGGTCCCATTCATATAATACTTTTTGTCCCATAAAACTAATCAAAATTCATGTACATCACTTACTTTTTGACCCATGTTTTTATTTCAAAACAATAAATATTCAGAAAAGAACTTACTGAAAATATGGGATATATATTTGTTTTGATTAATGATGGTGTTTTTATGTGGGCAGCTTGAGGATGGATGCCAACTGAGTACAGTAGATGAGATTGCAACAGCTATTAATTGCTTGCTGTGCAGGATTGAAGAAGAATCACTTTGATCTAATTAATTAATTAATAAACTTCAATTAAACCCTATGTTTTTATAATATTATGGGTTTTTAATTGTAATCTTTCAAGTCCATTAGTAGTGAAGTATTTAATTTCATCTACTTTTTTAGTTTTTGATATTTTTTTGAAATAATTTTGTGGTTAAGAATTAAAGCTGTCTTTGTTAATTGATTATGGATTATTTAGAGCCATATAACTTGATTATATTCTAATAATAAATATCTGATTACATGGTTATTGTTGTTATTACCTTTCGTCACGAAAATTTCGATCAATGTTACAACCCCAAAAATTAAAACATACTTTGTGGTAAAATATAGATTAGGGGTTGTTTGGCAGTTGCTGAGTGGTTTGGTACAGAATGATTAAGTGATCATAATGATTAAGAGGCTCTCGTGATATAGTGCAAAATGAAATATTATTGTTTGGTAATTGTTTATAATGAAAGTATGACGCTTAATGGTTAAGGGAGACTCCGGATACAAAATCATTCAGATGATTTTAAAACCATTAAGAGCCAGACTTTTTTTTGTCAAACAAGATTCACCTATTAATGATTCAGAGACTGTTTATTAATTGAACTATTAAGAGATAAACAAACAACCTCTAAACAATAGTTATATAGTGGTGTAATTAACAAACGATAAAGCTTCTTTTAAATAATATGACAAAAATATTCTCTTATGGTTTTTAATTAAGTTCAAAAGAAACTGATTTAGCAAAAACTTTAGAAAACACCGCAACAAATTTTTTGATTTTAAATGATTAAAGTCTTAAACGTTCTTTTAAATGAATAAATTATTAAACTTTTCTCGTTTTGAATGAATTAAGTTTTTGAATATTCTTTTTCAATAAATACACTATTGAACTTTTAAAAATTGATTAAATACTTTTTTTCCAATAAATACACCATTGAACTTTTAAAATATTCTTTTTATAAGTAAAAAAAAAAAAAGAAACCTAAGCTATTTTTACCGTTTCCAAACTCTACATCATTCAAACCTTTCACATCCAATGGTATTGCTCCTCCTTGACAACCGCACCGTTGTCTGCTCATAGACCACTCAAAAAGCTATTTTTATATTGTTTTTTTTTGTCTTTGAGTCTCAATCGTTTAGTACAATTTAATGAAGCATGTCTAGAAAAATCGAAAAAAGAGAATCGAAAAATCAAAAAAAAAACAGATCAAGACGAGGGAGACGATGGCAAGGGCCAAGGCAGTAATAGGTGGTCAGACAGAGAGTGGACGATGGTGGGGCGACAAAGGAGTGGGTTTGAAAGAACTTGGATTTGGAAATAATAAAATTAATTTAGTATCTTTTTTAGTTTAAAACCTTACTTAGGTTGCTTTTTTTTAAAGATTGTATTTTGTCAATTTTTAATAGTTCGATAGTATATTTATTCAAAAAGAATGTTAATCATTCAAAACGAGAAAAAATTAAAGGTTTTTTTATTAAAACAAAAATCAAACTTTTAGGAGCTGCAAATAATGGTTTACTTTTATTGAAAGTGTTATATAAGCAAAATGTCAATAGTGGCATCAGAATTAGATATATCAAGTCAGTCACAATTCAAAAACTTCACATCTCTCTTTCTAGTTCCTAGATTCCTTGCATATCCACCTCTGAATGATAATAACAGTTCGTTTGCATCAAATATGATGAAACTAAGAACCAAATATGTAAAACTAGATAAATTAACCACAAGGGTGGTGTCTCATTAGTTTGAGCTTGGTTCCAAAAGTCAAAAGTATCAGGAGGTCCCAGGTTCAAATCCAAAGAGGAATAAAAATCCCCTTGTGGACACAGAGGTTCAAATGCAGTGAAGCAGGTGGTCGCCCTGGGATCAGTCAACTTGCATAGCAGGTTGGATATCCTGGTTAATAAAAAAATAGATAAATTGAAACCTAAAAGATATATAATTGGACCTGTGGAGAATTCTTGATGCCAAGATTGGAGTGTAGACCATGTGTGTCTCGAATGCCTCCAAGATTGGCCGCTAAAACAGCCTGTTGGTAATCTTCAACCATGCCAATTGTTTCATAGTAAATAACCTACATTGTAAATCACTAGACTAATAAACAAAAACATAACATAATCCGATTACGACATTGATAATCATGAGGTGGAATACAAAACCAGATTATAAGGTAGTTAGTAAAAATCAAACATACAAATGTAAGTTAATAAGAAATTAGCATACCTTGGCTTCCAAATAACGTAGTCTTTCTATCAACATTTCCTCCCGCGCCTGAAACATTAATCAACAAATTGATAGACAAAAAAACATGAAATTGCATTTGATGGATTATGGATACAGCTGAGAATGGTCGATCGTACAAGTTGGAGATCGTTGTAGATGACTTGGAGATGAGGGATCCATAGAAAGCTATGTGTATAATACTACGTACATATTCTTATTTTACATGTGACGTGTCATTAATTTTATACAGTGTGTAATGTCTGTCAAAATTAACCCCATCTTGGTCGACTTATCAACTGATAAATTGAAGTAGCAATCAATGATCATCATACTTGCTTCGATCACACAAGAATATCTATTGTTTATAAACAAATGAAATAGCAAGAAGAATGGGATTTCAGAAACCAAACTAAACATAAATCGATATTCGTTGAAGAACAACTAAACAAAAATCGATATTCTTCCAATCACACTTTAAATTGCTAACATGTTCGAGAAATCGTTGCAGACCATGAGGAATGATTTGAGCGACAACGATGTAATAACCAAAAAAAAAAGGGAAATAAATTGAATGTAATTTAATGACAGGAAACTCAATAGTCATGAAACCGACGACCATTAATTATGGCTTATCGTTTCACATTCCGTGAAACTGCCGATGGGGCTTAGTATAAAATGGGAGTTTTGTAGCTTTATGTGTAGTTTGGGGTCAAGAAGGAGAACTATTATGAGAAAATGCGACGGTGGACGTTGTAATGAGAGTTGACGGTGCTCTACATCGTAGCTAGTTTGGCACCAATCAGGGAGACGCTAGCCACTTCAAAGATCGGTTTGGGCTACACCATGTATTGTGAGTTACACGTGATTTATTTTTAAAATGGTTGCATGCCTTATCTTTTATATGCTATATATGCGTGAATAGTTCGATATTTTTATAATATGTGTTCTGAACTTGTATGTCAATGGAGATGTACTACGGTATGATTTTGTAAAGACGAGCATGCTTTGTGAGCTTGTCTAAGCCGTAAGTGCGGACATGTTGTATGAGTTCGCCAGGTAATGCTGTGTGAGGTAGACATCTCCCATGACGTCGTTGCTTTGTGATGTAGGCACGCACTATAATATCGTTATTTTGTGAAAAGTGTTATTCTCATCAAGGCATGCTAATTTATGAAGCTTCGTAAAAATTGTTTATCATAAAAGTTGTTGTTCATGCATGAAAATCGTGGATTCACTGGGCCTAAGGCTCACCCAAAACTCTTTTAAAACATTTTACCCAGGCGACTTTTGAGTGGAAAGAAAAGTGCAATAAAGAGAGATAAGGATTAACTTCAAAGAAGGATATGTGCAGATCAAGACATTGTTATAGAGCAAAGTTATGCTCCTCAAGATTGTAATTTAGATGGTGATATAATTTGTTAGATTAGAAATTTTATTTCCGCTGCAATGTAAGTGTTTGATCTTGGGATACTTATTATGATATATTGAAGTATTCGAAAATTTTGGGATGTTACAAACGATGAGTGATTTGAGCGACGACAAGAGGCTGTAGGTGAACGATGGCGAAGATTCGAGCGAAATGAGCGACGAGAATGATTTGGACGACCCAGAAACATCTAGGGCTCCTATGTAGTCCGATTGAGCGACCAGATTCATTTGTTCTTTATTTTCATATGTTTGATTATATTTGTTATATAATATTGATTTATTTTTGTAAATACACTTTTAAAAGTGTAACTGAATTCTTTTGTTTAATTTTAAAAAAGATATAATTTTTTTAACCATTTGGGAAACTTAAAGAAAGTTCTACTAAAAATGATCACTAAAGGTTTTAGCGACATTTCCCTCTCCGTATGTTTAATTAGCCCACAAATCCTTCCCTAAAGTTGTCCTACTTTTAATTACGTTTTTGATTTTTGTTATCTAAATTCTTCTCTATAATATATTTTTAGATACACTTCTAAAAGTTTCTCTAAATATTCCTTCTCTAAAACCGATTTTTCTTGTAGTGATTGAACTTTTCTTAACTTTTCTCTTTTATTACCCAAAAGATGTCCCTTTTCTTACCCTAAAATATGTAAAATATGTTTTTGAGGTTAATTTACTATACCCTACACGTCTCATGTAGTTCTCATTTATTATTTTCACATATATTTGTTTCGTAACATATTGATTTCATATGTGTTTGTTTCATAATTTGAAGTTTTTATACATCTATTTTTGTTTCATAATTTGAACCAAAGAAAGATTTCACTTTTTTTAACAATTTGAACACAGACATATATGAAACTTATATCCTAATTTTTGAAGAAAAAAAGTATGTAAAACAATACCTTGAAATGAGTTAGAGGGGGTTTGTAACTTTTTTGTGGTTATCATATGATAACCTACAAAATTGTAAGAATCGTAAGAACTGTTGCATCGTCATGTGTTAGTTCACATAAAAAAATTACATCGAAGACTAAGATTTAAATATTGATTAAATATATATATGTTTCACAATAATGTGTTTGTTTCACATGTATTTATTTCACAATGTGAAACTTATTTGCGTGTTTGTGTTCAGTAAAATACATTTGAAAGAGTTTTACATTGTAAAAAAAATTATTGTTAACAAATATTTTAAGTGTTTATATTAGATGAAAAAACCATATGGAATAATACCTTAAAGTACAAGTTCTTACGACTATTATAATGTTTGAGGTTCTCATTTAGTTATGTCCTCATATAAGAATGCTAAATATCGCCAACATGTAAGAATGAAAGGTTTATATGTGAAATCATTGAAAAAATCTCAAAAAAGTTTGTTTGAAGATGCATATATGAACTGATGTTACTGATTATTCATATGGGTTCACAAATACATCTTCAAATGGACTTTTACAATAATTCGCATATTAACCTTTCTTAGTATATCATTCTTTTTTTCTCATGATATTTAATCTGTCTATTTGAATTAACCAGACTCTACA